ACTTCGAAAGGGCGGTGGGGATCAGCGATGCGTAGGACGGGTGGTGAGCAGAGAACGTTTTTTAGGGCAGAGAAGGCAGCATGCTCTTTCTCCCCCCACGTAAAAGCGACTCCCTTACGCAGTAAATCAGTTAGTGGGGCGGTTAAACGTGCCATGTCGGGCACGAACCGTCGAACGTAATTAACAAACCCTAAAAAACTCTGCAGTTCCGTGATGTTCGTCGGGGGGCGCCACGCTTTTACCGTGTCCAGCTTCTTTGGGTCAATCTCAACCCCAGCCTCTGAAATGACGTGACCTAAAAACTCTAGCCTATCCCTAAAAAACTCGCACTTGGAGCCCTTGGTGAGCAGCCGATGTTCCTCTAAAACCTTAAAAACTGCTTCAAGATCTGCTAAGTGTTGCTGCCTATCCCGACTGTAAACGAGGATATCGTCTAGGTAAACGATGACGCATTTATCTAAAAGTGGCCTAAATGCCTCGTTCATGGTCATCTGAAAAGTCGCAGGCGCGTTCGTCAACCCGAAGGGCATTACTGTATACTCGAATGACCCGTACCGAGTCCTAAATGCTGTTTTTGCGCAGTCCGATGGTTCGACGCGAATCTGATGGTAACCTCCTCGTAAATCTATTTTCGAAAAGACACGTGCTGTTCGTAGTTGGTCAATCAGTTCGTCGGCGCGGGGGATGGGGTATCGCGATTTGACTGTTACTCGGTTAAGCGCTCGGTAGTCGATGCACATGCGAAAACCTCCGTCTTTTTTCGGTGTGAACAGTATGGGTGCGGCGAACGGTGACGAGCTCGGTCGAATAAACTGCTTCTCTAACAGGTAATCTAACTGCTTCCTTAGCTCGTCGAGCTCGGGCTGTGTCAGTCGAAATTGCCGCTGTACTGTTGGCTGTGCCCCCGGTTCTAGCTCGATCCTATGGTCGTGCGCTCGCTGAGGTGGCAGTCCCTGTGGTAAATCATCCGGAAATATCCCAGGGAACCGTTTCAGTAGTGCTTGTAATTCGGTCGGTACGGCTGCTAGCAGTTTCTGTAAATCGTTCTGCTGCTCGTCTTTTTCTACCACTGCGATATCCACTGCGTACACGTCAGCTCCAGCAGCGACAGCCCGTTTCATCGCGATGGCGTTGACCTGGACTGTCGAAGATTCGGGTGGCCGCCAGCGAGGTAGGACGACCCAGTTACCGCTACTTCGCACTGTGCAGCTCCCCGTCGTCCAGTCGATCCGTGGGTTGTACCGTCGCAGCCAATCACGTCCCAGTAAAATGTCGTGCCCATCCAGCGTCGTTGCGAGCATTTCCTGTGTAAACCCGAAGTTTTCCCCGCAGCGGACTTTTACTCGCTCCACTTTTTCTCGTATGGCCAAAGGCGTGCCGTCGACTAAGCGTGCATCTATCTCAGGTAAACATCGGTTAAGTGTTAACTGTAATTTCCGTGCGGTTGCAGTATTAACTAAGCTGTGACTTGCTCCTCCGTCAATGAAGATTTTCACTGCTGCTCCCTGTATTTTCCCGTAGATCAGTACCGGGCAATCCGTCGCTGTACCCTCCTTATTCATCCGAGCCCGATCGATGGCGTGAATCGGTACTGTGACTCGGTGAGGGTCGGTGTGGTTGGGCGAGCAGGCAGTCTCGTCAGTAGTTGGCCCAACTTCTACTGACTGCTGGCGTTTCCCTGCCTCTGAGACTCCTTCCCCTGCTCTGCTCCTCGACGCCTCAGCTCCTCTGGACATTCGCTCTTGCGATGGCCCGGCCGGTTGCAAGCAAAGCAGCGCCCTCTAAATGGCGTGGCAGCTGCATTCGTTGCGACGGCATGTACAGTGGCGTGCTCGATCGGTCCCCGAGGGCGATGTCCGAAATAGGACCCCGGTCTCGGTCGGCGTAGGATATCGATTTTCTCGGCGAGCGCGAGGATTTCGTTGAAATTCGATAGCCCGCGTAGCATTATCTCGTGCGATATGTCCGGCTTCAGCCCTCCGACGTAACGGTCCATCCGCTCCGCCTCGTGCATGTAGCCGACCTGTTCGCAAAGTGCGAGAAAACCGCTGGTGTAGTCTTGAACCGACCCGAGCTGGCGCCAAGTGCGCAGTTTCTGACGCGCCGAAATCGAAGCCGCGATCGGCTCAAAACGCGCCCGAAGCCCTGCGCACCACGCATCCCACGTGCTGTATTGGGCTGTTTCGCAGAACGAACTCCAGGTGACAGCTGGACCCGAGGGCCCTTCCTCGTGCGACGGTGGCTCGTAGGCGCGTGGCGACGTCACGATGACTCGCCACCAGTCCATGGCGGGGCCCCTGAGTAGTGAAACCGCATACCGAATCTTGGCGGCGTCCGACTCGACGTAGTTGGCGTCGAAAAACACATTCATCGTGAAGACCCACGATTGAACTGTCGGGCCGCCGCGTTGGCTTGGGTCGAAGCAGGGCGGGCGTTGCGGCTTGAGTGGCATTGGGGCCATCATGGCGTTTTCACCACTTGTCGTCGCGAACTCCACGTGCCGACGGGCTTCTCGGGGCTCGCGTGGGCTTAGCGTGCTCCTGTTCCCTCCCATGCCGGGCATCGGTTGGGCTGCGCCGTCACTGGCTGCGCCTGAGCGCTGTCCCGTGCTGTTGTGTTGCGTTGGTGTGCCGGATGAAATGATAATCGGCTCCTCCGAATGTACAGAGACATTGGTTGGTGCGTGGGATGTTGTCGGAGCATTCACCGTTGACTGTTGACGGGCGGAGTCACGTTCCGCCGTGAGCGTCGCGATTTCAAGCGCCGAATCCTCCAATTGTCGCACGAGACGATCGAGTTGCTCCTGCGTCAACGTGGCGAGATTGAGGTCGGCCATGGCGGGGGTGTCGGGCAAGCTCAGCGAGAGCCTCGGTCGTGGTCGTGCGTGCTTGCGAGAGAGCACTTCGAGCGGCGGTGCTGTGTCGCTGAGAGACGTCTACCCCCCCCAAAAAATTGAGATAGTGGGAAGCGAAGGTGTGGATGCGGCTCGAGATGAGATCGTAGGCTCTGATACCAAGTGTTACGTGTGCAATTGAGTGAAGGAACGAGAATTGCACTATCGAAGCAAAAGTACAATGAGCGAAGGCATGAGCGAAGGATTATATAGCGAAACAATAGTGGTAACGGTAATAGACTGTGGTTGTCGCGCGTCGAGCCTGGGACTGAGGTTGGGAAAGTGTCGAAGCGTAGGCCCGGAGCGCGGGTTACCAGCCGAGCCGTGAGGTCGGGATGCGATGTGCGAAAAAGGCGGGTTGATGAATGATGCGATAGTCGCGAGTGGTAACGGTGCTGACTGAGGTGCTACAGTGACGTACGCGCTGGGCAGGGACGCGAAGTAAGGAAAAGGGAATTTCCTTACAGTTTCAGAAGAGGTTGCGTGGGCGCTGCGAGTAACCCAACCCCACGAAAGTGGTGTGTGGGTGGGTGAACGCGCCCCGCACATTTCCAACCCAACTCGGCACCGGAATGTCTCACCGTGCACGCTACTCCTGCCAACACAGCAAGTGAGCAGCATGCCTCACAAGCAAGGCACCTACGACCCCCAAGACTCGTCATTCCTAGCACCGATTCCGCCGAGTTCGCTGCAGTAGCTCACAGTCACCCGTAGTCACTAATGACCGCCACCGAACTCGTGCGTCGGTGCCAAGTAGACTCAGTCGTTAGGCGCCGACCTGCCAAGTCAAAGGTCATCGAGGGCCCTTGCTGTCGTAGGACTGAGCACCCACGGAGTACTCCTACTCGTGGGGACGCCACTCGTCGTGGGGCCGCGCGCGCTGACCCTTCAGCTTCGATTGCCACGGCGTCTCAAAGCTTCGAGCTTCGTGAACCGTACTAATAGGCGTGCCGACCCTGATGACCCCTAATACTAGTAGGCGAGCAGATTTAACCCAATTGGAGCGGCGTGCAGTAATCGAGCTGAACCCAGTCCAGCCCCTGGTACTACGAGGAGTACTAGTACTATTTCCCGCTGCATCTCAGTTTTGAGTGAACAACTCAAGTAATAGAATTAGTCGCATTCCGTTTCAGCAGGTCTATTCGTAATTCTCGCACTGTCTCGCGCCGTGCGAGAGCCCAAAATTCAACCCAATTCTCAAACATACAGCGTGTTCTATCAGCAGCTCTAGTAGTAGTTCTCGCACTGTCTCATCTCAAGCCCACGGAGGGTTGCCAGCGGTGTACAGTCCCGCGACCCGCCGCCCGTTAGTTCCGCTTAAAACGGCAAGCCGTTCCGTTTAAGACGGCTGCATCTGACCGTCACGGCCGACACCTTAACATCATAGCCTCGCTATCGAGGTTGCTTTTGTGCGGTCTCTATAGTCAGATTGCATCATCCCGCGGCGCTACTATCCGCTGCCACTGGTTACGCGGCACAAGGCGGAATCCCGGATTAGGCGACGCAGCAGCCTTGGACCGGCGCGTGCAACAGTCAGTCTCAGTCTCACTCTTTTAGGCTCAGTCTCAATCTACATCTCAGTCTCAGTCTCAGTCTGTCGCTGTCTCATTCCCAGTGTCAGTGTCAGTCACTCAGTCTTATCTCAGCCTCATTCTTCACTCAGTCTCAGTCTCAGTGTCTCTCACTCTCACTCACTCGCACTTTCAGTTGCACTCACTCTCTTGCACTCACTCACTCTCTCACTCTCACTCGCTCTCGTTTACTCTTAATCTCATTCGCACTCTGTCTCACCCTCACTCCCACTCACTCTCTCCAAGTCTCACCCTCACTCCCACTCACTCTCTCCAAGTCTCACCCTCACTCCCACTCACTCTCTCCAAGTCTCACCCTCACTCCCACTCCCTCTCTTAATCTCAGACTTACTCACAGCATCATTTACCCGGCAAGCACCATGATGGCTCCAAAGGGGAACCGCTCGCGGGATATGTTTGGAATTCCTAAGAAACATCTCGCACAGAGGACGCGTTCGCACTCCCACTCCAACTTCCAATCGCCATCCCCTGCGTCGGCAGCGGCTAACGCGGCGGCGGCAGCGACAACAGTGGCTATGGCGAAGCGGCGGCGGGCGCAGCACTCACTGACGGCCCTCGCATGGCTCGCAGGGTGGCTCGCCGCCAGCCTGCTCGTGTCGCTTGTGACGACAAACGCCGTTCCGCTCGAACCCACTCAAGGTGAGCTGGGCAGGCCGGGTGACTGTTGGGCAGGCCGGGTGACTGTTGGGCAGGCCGGGTGACTGTTGGGCAGGCCGGGTGACTGTTGGGCAGGCTGGGTGACTGTTGGGCAGGCTGGGTGACTGTTGGGCAGGCCGGGTGACTGTTGGGCAGGCGGGTGACTGTTGGGCAGGCTGGGTGACTGTTGGGCAGGCTGGGTGACTGTTGGGGAGGCCGGGTGAGGAATCAATTTTTATGGACTCATTGCGCGTCCGGAGGGGAACCCACTTGCTCGGCATTCCTGTGACGGGGCATGGGTTGCGTTGCAACCCACAGCCTTCACCATGGCTCTCGGATAATTCGGTCGGCATTCTCACAACAAGACAATCGGGGTCTATAGTTGTGCGTTCCACGGCAGTACGACGGTGGAGAGTACTCGTCCATGCTCGCAGGTTTTTTTTTTTCCATGTCAGTATGTTCTTCGCGTCGCCATCGTTCGTTCCATGTCAGTACGACGGTTGCCAGCCATTATTGCGTCCTCTTCCTCGAGGGCTGCCACGGCTACACGCAGTGCACTGCACTTCCCCTACAACTACTCTATACCGTGATGTTTGGATCGACCGAACCAAACGAACTTTGTCGCCCCCCCACCTCCCCGCACCATGCTCCCGCCCCCCTCTTTCTGCAGGACACCTTTCGAGCGACTCCCAGACGGCGTGGAGCATCCCCACCAGGGATGGCGGTTGCCCTCCCAGACGTGAATGCACTCCCCCAACCCGCCCTGCCACCTTCCCTCTTCCCCTCATCCCGAAGCAATCCAACCAATCCACCCATTCCCTCAACCCAACCCCCGCAAACTGCTCCCTTGCGACTTCGCCCACACGCAGTGCAATTCCTGAACGAATCTCAGGCGGCATGGAAGAGCGTGAAGTTCCCCGGCTTGGACGGCCCCAAACCTGACTGCGACCTGCTTTCTCCATACGACATCAGTTGTGACGCGCACGGCATGATTGATAAACTGTGAGCCGTGTGGCTGGGAGTTGTGTGGTCGGGAGATGGATGGTTGGGAGATGGGTGGTTGGGAGTTTGGTGGTTGGGATATGGTGCGCAGTGCTCGTCCTGCTATTGATGTGTAGTAGAAGCCATGTTCTTGAAACACATGCATACCGTAATTATATTGAACACTAGAATTCCATGACAAGATAAGCAGTGGGAAACATGCACTCAAATTTTAATGAGGCACGGGAATGGCCGATTGCGGCTGTGTCGAATCTTGAGTTTTGAGTCGACTCAAAAATGGCCGATGGGGGCTGTGTCGAATCTTGAGTTCAACGGGCTCTGAGGTGCTCTTTCTATAGTCTGTATGTCAATTTCTGAAACAATACAGTTCGATTGAGTTGAGTCGAGAGTGTAAATATTCATGCCTATCAGTCCAGGGTAATGCTGCTGGCATGGGCAACCGTAAACACCGCCGCCAGCATAGGGCCGTCCTTGTGTGAACATTAAAGGACAGCTTAGATCGCTAGCATAGGGTTAGAGTAAAAAAAGAAATTCCAGTTTTACCGACATTTGTGAAGAATATCTACAACTCGCGAGTAAATATTAGAGCCAGCTCAGCGTTAACAAGCTACAGCTGCAGTTTATTCGTTGCTGATGTGGCTGGTATTCATAACTATCCTTGACTATGTGGTCATGCTAATGTGTAATCATGCTGATGTGTGGTCATGCTGATGTGATGTGTGGTCATGCTGATGTGTGGTCATGCTGATATGATGTGTGGTCATGCTGATATGTGGTATGTGGATGCAGGTTTCTGAGCAACCAAAATCTGCGAGGGCCCATTCCGCAATCAATCAGCAACCTCAGGAACTTAACTTGGCTGTATGTCTGCTCCAGCCAACGGCCCAATTGCTATCTGCCATCTGCAACCTGCCACCTGCCAGCCACCTGCCATTTGCTATTTGTTAATCCTCGGATGTTTCATGCTTCACTCCACAGTCCACCAAACCCAGCCCTACCCGAAGCCACGGTTGTCCCAGTCACTTGTTTCTGCTCCATCAATCAACCCCATCTACCTCACCCGTCCACCTTGCTGTCGTTTCCCACCTTTTCTCACCTCATCATCTTTTTCCCACCTCACCCACTTTTCTCACCTCATCGTCTGTTTCCCACCACACGCTCTTTCTGCTGTGACATTCTGTTGGTGTGCATGCATGCCACCTTTCAGAGATCTCTCCTTGAGTGTACTTTCAGGCAGCATCCCGGCAGGCGTCGGTGATCTCAATCAAATGCTCTACATGTGAGCAGCACACGCAGAGTTTTGAGGCGATGAGTATCCATCCATGTGACGTGATATGCGTGTCCATCCATGTGACATGATATGCGTATCCATCCATGTGACGTGATATGCGTATCCATCCATGTGACGTGATATGCGTATCCATTCCACGTGACGTGATATGCATATTCATCCATGTGACGTGATATGCGTATCCATCCATGTGTCGTGATATGTGTATTCATCCATGTGACGTGATATGCACGCATCGGTCCATGTGACATGCATCTATTTACATGTGGGGTGCATTCAACCTACAATTGCATTCATGCTTGCGACCTCATATACACATTCATAACTATCATATATATCATATCAATTCCCCCCATGTCAGCTTCTTCCTTTCCCGTGTTGTGTTCACTTGTGAGTGGCCCACAAGCGTCAAAACAGTAGAGTAGGAAGGTATGTAGCAGTACCACCACACGCATATCAGCCAGCCAAACAGGCAGTGCGTACCAGTGCAATAGAGCTCCCCTGCCTTTCCTGCCTCGCCATATCCACCTGGTGCTTCTTTTGAGGCACCTCAAAAGTAGACTCCTGTCCTGCCTCACCATATCCGCCTGGTGATTCTTGCCCCAACTGAATCTGTTATTTATATGGTGATACGTCTACCCACGTGGTGAAACGTCTACCCACGTGTTGATACGTCTCCCTTGGTGTCTTTTTTTGACGACTCAAAACACACCCTCGTGGATATAACTGAGGACCCCATCCCATCATCTTCTTAATGTTCTCTTCTTATCGCCCTTCTCAGTGACCTCGAGCTTAACTTCCTTGATGGGTCCATCCCCTTCCAAATTGGCTCCATGAAAAAACTTATTAGATTGTAAGTAAACGTCACCCTTTTCTTCTCTCCTCTCCTACTCCTTTTCTTCTGTGCATTCTTCCAACCCACCCCCTCCCCTCCTCCACCCCCTCCCCTTGCCTCCTCTTACCTCCTCTGACCATTCTCTTTCACCTGCTCCATACCTCTCCCTCACTTCCGCTCCTTACCTCTCATCTCCTCTATCTCCTCTGGGGTTATCGGGCCGCTGCAACGGCCAATACCCCCTCAGCTGCGCTAGTCATGTCTGACTTGAGGGTCATACAACTTGATCCGACTCAATTGTAACTAGGAGGCTCAGGTCGTCTCACGACTCCTATACGGTCGAAGCCAATAGGCACGTCATGAGTCTCTTTCGACTTGATACCAGGTTCGAACATGTAGTTGACACCCAAGTGTGTTATGAGTCGACTCAAATTCTACTTGATACCAGGTTTGATCGAATATGTGCTCTACTGTATCTCAACTGTCCATCCTTTTATTCACCTATTGCTTGTTGTAACGTGCTACTGGTGTCACCATGTAAATTGGTCAATGGCATTACCATCATACATTATCATGTCTTCTGTTCCTACTCTTTGAATCATACTGTTTATCCTTTCACTTCTCGCCTATTCGTAGCTTCTCAATTTCCTTATTCTAAGATCCACGGGTTCTGTTGCTGTCTGTGTGCATGGTGCTTCCTCACAGAGACTTCTCTTACAACCAGCTTTCAGGCAGCATCCCTGCCAGCTTCAGTGAGCTCCGCCAGCTAACGTTCATGTGAGCAGCTGCACACACACACCGACACAGAATGCTAGCAATGTGTGGCTTGGGGAGTGTGCGTAGCTCATGGGGGCATCGCGAACTAAAGTCGCTGTGAGCAGAATGCCAGTGATGGCATGTGTTGCTTGCAGGGTTTGCGTAGCTTTTGAGGCGCCTTAAAGGTCCATGTAAGCAGCACGCATGCCATCAGAGAATGCCAGCGATGTAATGTGTGGCTCCCGGCGTGTGTGTAGCTCCTAGTGTGTGCGTGGATTGTAGAATCGTGTGTCACACACGATTTTTCACACAAGGAGGTGAACCTCTGTTGGCGTTGCTGTTTACTATTGTCCAAGTAGCTAGGGTCCTGGCCTGGACCTTAGCTTTCCCGATCTCGTTTGAGAGGGTTTTCAGCAACCCTTTTCAACTTATACTCCCTTTCACAACCACCACAGATCTTTGTTCGTTAATCGTCTCAACGGCTCCATCCCATCTGAGCTTGGCTCATTGACAAATCTGGAGTCATTGTAAGTCCTCCCTTTTTCTGCCATCCCCTTGTATGCCCATCCCGTATCTTCCACCTTGTAAGCCCTCCCCACTCTTCTCTATGTCTTATTTGTGCTTCTCTTTGTTTTGGCTGCTCCATCTGCTTCGCTCTTACTCTCTTCTCGTTTCCTTTCCTCTCTCCTCTACTCTACTCTCCACTCCTTTCCTCTCCTCTCCTCTCCTCTTCTCTTTGTGCCTTTACCCTCCCCTTGACCTCACTGGTCTTCACATCGTTCACTGTTTTCAAGGCTCATCCTTTCCCTCCTCGCCTGCTCGTCTCTTCTCAAAATATTACTCTGGTAAAAATCAACTTTCATGCCACTGTAATGCTATGCCTGTTGCTCTATCAATTACATTATGCCCTCTGTTGCTGTCTGTGCTGGTGCTTCCTCACAGAGACCTCTCTTACAACCAGCTCTCAGGCAGCATCCCTGCTAGCTTAGGGGATCTCCGCGAACTCAAGTCCCTGTGAGCAACAGCGCACTGTCTGAGAATGCCAGTGACGTGATGTGTGGCTTGCAGGTGTGCGTGGCTCCTAGTGGGTGATGTGTCCGCGGCAGCATCTTTGCTAGCTTAGGGGATCTCCGCGAACGCAAGTCCCTGTGAGTAGCACGCAGGGCGTGTGTAGTGATGTGATGTCTCGTCAGAGAATACCAGTGATGTGATAGTGCAGGGTGTGCGACGTGATAAAGGTGTTGTTTTGAGACGTCTCAAAACAACACCTTTATCCAGTGATGTGATGTGTGGCGTGCGGGGTGTGCGTACCTCCTAATGTACTTGTGGATCGTAGAAGGTGTCACGAGAGATGACACTAGAGATGACACCCAGTGGTTCTTCACACAGAGAGATGAACCTCTGTTGGCGCTATCTGTCCTCTATTCTTCACAAAAGGAGATGAAAAATGTTGGCGCTGCTTTGATTTCATGCGGTAAAGTTGAGATTCAAATTGCTATTTCACAAAGCCTACCAGCCCGCACCCCACCGATCCATATTTCTCATCCATACCGAACCATATCCGATCCGTTCCGAACCGTACCTAACCGTTACCCACCTTGGTTCGAGCAAAACGGGTCGGGTCAGGACGGGCCGACTCGTTTCTCAAGTGACTAGTGCAATAAACCTCCAAAACCCTTCAAACTTCCACCTTTTGCCCTAACGTAACGTCGGGATCTAAACCCTGAACTTGCCGATTTTCTTACTATAGGTGTGCTTAATGAAACACTGTCTGCTGCTGAATTCGGGTATTCGATTTGATTGAAAGGCAGGTTTGTAGGCAAGAGACTAGGTATTGAGGAGATTAGGAAATCTAACTTGAGAGTTGGAGCTTGGAAGTGAGCTTCATTTTGTGCCGATCTGGCAAACGCCCTCCCTCCCTCCGATCTCGGCGTGCCGAGGGTTTCTGAGTCGAAACCCTCCCTCCCCTTCCGCCCCCCTATCCCCTCCCAGTTTTTCTGGAATATAGTTCCACACAGAACCTGTTTGTCCGATGCAACTCGGACATACTGGTCGAGCTGACTTAAAAAGTTTGGTCCAGCTTGAACCTTTGAAGGTTGGATTTTTTTTTTTTTTTTTTTTTTTTTTTTTGAGAATATCGCTTTTGACGAAAGTTCAACAACCGAACCAAACTGCAGGTGGGTTTTTTTCTCATGTCATAAGGTAAGCCTCCTAACACATGATGATATGGTCCTTCATATTGGGGGGTGTTCTTTATGGCTATGATGTCATAAATACTCCCTACTAAGCGATTCAAAGAAGATTTTTTGTTAGCATGTTCGATGTTGCCCATTTCCTTTTGTTGTAAGCATGTAAGAGGGAATGCATGCATCGCCCCACTTTTCACTGAGTTCTGACTTGACTCCTTCCATCGCGTCTCGCGTTGCTCCCCTCCACTCCACCTTGTGCTGTGCTCTGCTCGCCCATGTGAAAGCAGGCATCTGGATCACACCAATGTCTCAGGGACTATCCCACCATCCCTTGGAGGTCTTCTCTACTTGAAGAACTTGTAAGCTTTTATACCATGACCGTGTCTGTTTCCCCATCCCTCGGGGACCCTCCCACCATCCATTCCGTTGTAACCCTTGTCTCTTTTGAGCATCCACATCCACATTGTACGCTTGGTTGGATTCGAATGTTCAACCGTGCCTGGGGTCGATGCCGAATCCGAGGCTCCTCAAAATCCATGCATGAGATCGATGTGCGGATGGGCCACGGCATCAAACGATGCATGGCAGCCAGCACCTCAAAACAATTGAGAGCCACGGCTCGCCACCTCAGGTTACAACCAATTTTCTAAAATTGTCTCGTCACGCTGTTGTTCCTTCGCTTAAGCCTACTCATCGCGTGCAGCTCACTGAAAAATGTCTGAACTTTGCCCATCCAGCACCTCAAAACAATCGAGAGCCACAGCTCGCCACCCCTCTTTCCATACCAGCACCACCAAGGACACCAACCTCACATGTCCGGACAACTACACCAGCTGTGGTCAGACGCAAAACCCTTGGACTGCCTTTTGCCGCAAGTGCCCTTTCTTTTGCGAAACATGCCTCAAGTCAACAGGTGAGTGCAGCACTACTAACTACACGAAGAAAGAAAGAACGGAAGACACAACAGAAAATAATTCCCACTTTATGGTTTGCCGCATACAAGCCCCCCCCCCCCCTATACTAACCAGAGCAACTCAAAGAGGGCGCAAAACGATCAAGGAGATAAACCTTTAGTGAACTTCCTCTCCACTTTCGCACCGTTGATCTTCAGTTGCCTAGCTCAAGCAATCGTGTCAAGCTCAGTAGCCTCACATGCTCTTTGGCTCGCTTTGTTTTTAATCTTGAGGCGCCTCCTATGTCATTCTGAAGTCGCTCATGAAATTTCTCAACTGCATTGCAACTGTCAGCCCAAGCCTTGCCCGATTGACCTGACCTCTTCTGACGTTTCTGAGCTTGTTTCTGACGTTTCTGCTGCTTGTTTCTCTTACCTAAAGCCTGCATCTGACGTTTATGAGCTTCTGAGCTGCTTGTTCTTCTGAGCTGACTGCCTGGAATTGTTCGCCCAACCCCACCCTCCGGCACCACCTGCAGCGAACCCCAGCGATAGCAGCGGCTTACCGCTGGGGGCCATCATTGGCATTGTTGTTGCTTCCGTGGTGGTGGTGGTGCTGCTGCTGCTGGCTGCTGTGCTGCTCTGCCTCAGGCACAAGCAGCGGCAGAAGACAACAGGTGGGAAGAATTGATTGGTAAGACGTCGGGCTGAATGGATTGGTGAAGGAGAAAGAAAGCTTTGGTGAAGGAGAACAGCAGCAAGTACATGGCTGATTGGGTCCAACAAAGAAATTAAAGAAGGTTTGTCAGTGGAATCTGCCAATATCTCTAACTGATGGATATTGGAGATTGTGAGCTATCGCATTTGAGGTTGAGATTCACATCTCGTGCGCACAAGAACCAGTATAAGCACAAAAGTTACTACAAAACCAGAAAAACGAATGAATGCATTCAATGGTGTTTTCTTTCTTGTGTGTGTACGCATGCGTGCGTGTGGGCTTGGGTTTGTGGGCATGGGCGTGGGTGTGTGTGCGTGCATGTGTGTGTGCATGGGCGTGTGTGTGTGTGTGTGTGTGTGTGTGTGTGTGTGTGTGTGTGTGCGTGCGTGCGTGCGTGCGTGCGTGCGTGCGTGCATGCGTGCGTGCGTGCGTGCGCGCGCGCGCGCGCTTTACCCCTCACACCTCAAACCTCACCCGTCACCTCACCCCTCCCCCCCTCTCACCCTCACCCTCACCCTGCACCCCCACCCCTCACCCTACCCCCCACCCCACAAGCAGCCTTAACCAGCACCGAGTTTTCTCTCTCTGAGGTTGAAGCAGCCACCAGCAACTGGTCTGCGGACAACCAGCTAGGCTCGGGGGCCTTTGGTGACGTGTACAAGGGGGTGTCGCCACGCGATGGTGTCACAGAGTGGGCTGTGAAGCGCGCCAAGCTGATCGACGTGGACTTCCAGCGGGAGGTGGGTGACTTGTGTGGGTTATGGTGCATGTGTCCTTCTGAGTCGACTCAAAAGACGTGGGGTATGGTGCATGTGCCCACATATACTTTAAATATATGCATGCGCGTGACGTGATGGCGCTGTTGAGTGGGCTGTCTGTGAAGCGACGTGTTTGAAGAAGTGTTTTTAGACGTCTCAAATATGCATGCGTGTGACGTGATGGCGCTGTTGAGTGGGCTGTCTGTGAAGCGACGTGTTTGAAGAAGTGTTTTTAGACGTCTCAAATATGCATGCGTGTGACGTGATGGCGCTGTTGAGTGGGCTGTCTGTGAAGCGACGTGTTTGAAGAAGTGTTTTTAGACGTCTCAAATATGCATGCGTGTGACGTGATGGTGCTGTTGAGTGGGCTGTCTGTGAAGCGACGTGTTTGAAGAAGTGTTTTTAGACGTCTCAAATATGCATGCGTGTGACGTGATGGCGCTGTTGAGTGGGCTGTCTGTGAAGCGACGTGTTTGAAGAAGTGTTTTTAGACGTCTCAAATATGCATGCGTGTGACGTGATGGTGCTGTTGAGTGGGCTGTCTGTGAAGCGACGTGTTTGAAGAAGTGTTTTTAGACGTCTCAAATATGCATGCGTGTGACGTGATGGCGCTGTTGAGTGGGCTGTCTGTGAAGCGACGTGTTTGAAGAAGTGTTTTTAGACGTCTCAAATATGCATGCGTGTGACGTGATGGCGCTGTTGAGTGGGCTGTCTGTGAAGCGACGTGTTTGAAGAAGTGTTTTTAGACGTCTCAAATATGCATGCGTGTGACGTGATGGCGCTGTTGAGTGGGCTGTCTGTGAAGCGACATGTTTGAAGAAGTGTTTTTAGACGTCTCAAATATGCATGCGTGTGACGTGATGGCGCTGTTGAGTGGGCTGTCTGTGAAGCGACGTGTTTGAAGAAGTGTTTTTAGACGTCTCAAATATGCATGCGTGTGACGTGATGGCGCTGTTGAGTGGGCTGTCTGTGAAGCGACGTGTTTGAAGAAGTGTTTTGAGACGTCTCAAATATGCATGCGTGTGACGTGATGGCGCTGTTGAGTGGGCTGTCTGTGAAGCGACGTGTTTGAAGAAGTGTTTTTAGACGTCTCAAATATGCATGCGTGTGACGTGATGGCGCTGTTGAGTGGGCTGTCTGTGAAGCGACGTGTTTGAAGAAGTGTTTTGAGACGTCTCAAATATGCATGCGTGTGACGTGATGGCGCTGTTGAGTGGGCTGTCTGTGAAGCGACGTGTTTGAAGAAGTGTTTTGAGACGTCTCAAATATGCATGCGTGACGTGATGGCGCTGTTGAGTGGGCTGTCTGTGAAGCGACGTGTTTGAAGAAGTGTTTTTAGACGTCTCAAATATGCATGCGTGTGACGTGATGGCGCTGTTGAGTGGGCTGTCTGTGAAGCGACGTGTTTGAAGAAGTGTTTTTAGACGTCTCAAATATGCATGCGTGTGACGTGATGGCGCTGTTGAGTGGGCTGTCTGTGAAGCGACGTGTTTGAAGAAGTGTTTTTAGACGTCTCAAATATGCATGCGTGTGACGTGATGGCGCTGTTGAGTGGGCTGTCTGTGAAGCGACGTGTTTGAAGAAGTGTTTTTAGACGTCTCAAATATGCATGCGTGTGACGTGATGGCGCTGTTGAGTGGGCTGTCTGTGAAGCGACGTGTTTGAAGAAGTGTTTTGAGACGTCTCAAATATGCATGCGTGTGACGTGATGGCGCTGTTGAGTGGGCTGTCTGTGAAGCGACGTGTTTGAAGAAGTGTTTTGAGACGTCTCAAATATGCATGCGTGTGACGTGATGGCGCTGTTGAGTGGGCTGTCTGTGAAGCGCGCCATGCTGATAGATGTTGTCTTCCAACGGGAGGTGGGTGCATGTGTGTTACATCGAAGAAGCGGCTTCATCGTGCCCGTCATGTGTGTTACATCATATGTGTTGTATGGAAACCCGTCATGTCACGTTCCATCCATCTCCATCAGGATTTCTGCTTCTCGAACCCCCATCAACGTTTGCTCGATGCTGCAGTGCATACCTGTTACCGGTTTAGCTTTCCAGTGTTGAGCTGTGCGGGACCTTGTTATACGCTTTAGATGCCCATTGTTGTGTATGCTCTTCTCAACGCCCCGCAGATCCAGCAAATGGCCGACAAGAACCATCCCAACATCGTGCGGCTGCTTGGGTTTGCTGTGGGGGGGGACATGAGGACGCGGCCAGAGCAGGTGCTCATCTACGAGTTTGTGCCTAACGGCGACCTTGCAACGTGGCTGGACCCAACAAGTGAGTCTACTTTTGATGCCCCTCGTGCGTGTGTTGCACATTCCATAACCGTGTGTGTAATGCCATGTGCCTAATGCCACGTGACTAATGCTCACTCCTACCTGCCTATTGCTCCCTTCCTCCTGCAGAGTCACCATTCTCACTGACTCTGCCACAATGGCTGGGCATCCTCATTGGGGCGGCGCGTGGCTTGGAGTATCTCCACAGCTTTGGCTTCGTGCATCGCGACATCAAACCCGCCAACATCCTCATCAGCGCCGACATGCAGGCAAGCTCCGAGCATTAAACCTGTCCACATCAAATGGTCCACATCCATTACAGCGTACAGACATCCATGCAAGCTCCGAACAGCTTTTCACCGGTGGTTATTGAGTCGTCTTTTAGTCAATGCAAACAGGCAACTGTCAGCTGCTCAGGTCCCTGTCCTATGGTACCACAAGTATTTTTAAACACTTTGGTATGTTGATTTTTTTTCATGAAATTCGGGTAGAGTCATCCTGTGATTTGTGTGCGCAATCAATCAACTCCCACCCAATTCAACAACTTGTTACACCTTCATCATCTTTCAACCTTGTTGTAACGAACTCCTCTTACCCAGGCGAAGATTGCGGATTTTGGATTGGTGAGGGTGGGAGAGGGCACGACAGTGGGTTCTACCCGAGTGATGGGCACACCTGGCTATGTGGACCCTGTTTACACGAGGACAAATAAGGCAACCACGGCCACTGATGTTTACAGGTACTTGCGGGAGAATTAGATGATTTTTGTAAGTTGGCATAGGTCAGCTTGTTATTTCGTGCTGATAGTTTGTTTTGGAATGCTGTTAGCCCCTTCAGTCCAAGCATTTGCATGTTAGCATTTTCATGTTATGATTGTAATGAATACATATAAGATCAAGGTGGTTGGTGTATCCGTTACGGTCATGTTGTCCCCTTGTCTCAACCATGGCATGATGACCATCTCAACACCAAGCCTCGCATCGTAGCCTCAACATCTCTCTCTCTCTCTCTCTCTCTCTCTCTCTCTCTCTCTCTCTCTCTCTCTCTCTCTCTCTCTCTCTCTCTCTCTCTCTCCCTCTCTCTCTCCATGCTCTTCAGCTTTGGAGTGCTCATCCTCGTGGTGCTTACGGGACGTTCTTCAATAGCTGAGCCTGGAAGGGAGAGGATGCACATCCTACATTGGGTAAGCACCACCGCCACCACCACAGCCGCCGCCGCCGCCGCCACCGCCGCCGCGGCCGCGGCCGCCACCACCACCACCACCACCACCACCACCACCACCACCACCACCACCACCACCACCACCACCACCACCACCACCACCACCACCACCACCACCACCACCACCACCACCACCACCACCACCACCACCACCACCACCACCACCACCACCACCACCACCACCACCACCACCACCACCACCACCACCACCACCACCACCACCACCACCACCACCACCACCACCACAACAACAGCAACCCCACACCTCGTGCCAAGGTCCAGTCAATGTGACTTTTGAGTCGACTCAAAAGGAACCCTGCACCAAGTGCCAAGGTTCATTCGCATGCTGCACCGGCCTCTGCTTCCTACCTTGAATAGTTACCAAGTTTGAACATCTACCTAGATTATTTAACTTGAGCTTCTAGCTTAGCATTTCAATAACATCAGATGTTCCTGCCTTACTTGAGGATTGGTTACTTACCAACCCCCTCACTTGTGCATCTGATTTGCCTCGTGTTTTTCTCTCCCAACCGCTCGCCTCCCGGTCCCGTTCCAACCTGCTGCACTTCCAGGTGGAAGAGTGCCTGAAGGGCTCCAACCTGGCTTGCCTGAAGAACCCCACTGTGGAAGTCTCAGAGGAGGTGCTGCTGCGCCTGACCCAGCTCGCACTCACCTGCACGGTGGATCGCACTGCAAGCCGTCCAACCATGGGGGACGTTGCAAATGAGTTGCTGGTGATTAAGAACGAAGTGGGGGGGAAGGAGGAGGTGAGTGCGGCGGTGAAAGTGGATGAGGAGAATGAAGAAAGGAAGAGTGCGTATACGGCACTCAAAACCCTGGATGAAGAAATAGACCTTATCCATGATGACAACATTTTATCGATAAGGTGTTGCTGACTGGCAATCTCGACTGCCTTGGCTAGCGACATGGCATGACACTTCATCTGCAAATCACACTTGGTACATTACTAAACCAAAAGTAGTGAATGTCTTAGTACATTACTAGCTGAGTATGCATGTTTGTTACGATATTCTCAATTTGCATGACCGTATGTTTCTAAAAAAATGCAGTACCGTATGTTTTCGCGGGCTGCTTATCACCAAGCTAGAAATGTACGGCCCTGGGTTTGGAATGGAAATCTCTGGATCTGCCATAATTGCTGGCAGTTCAACCCGCCCTTACCGTATGGCCCCGGATAGAAGCGCAGGCCTATTAAAGGCGCATGCGCTTGTATCTGGAGCAATGCGCTTATGGCCGATCCTCAATTATAAGCGCACCCCCTGTAAAACCTTGATTTATTTTAAGCGTATGTACAATTTTTATTTTAAATCATGATTAAAACGGTAACGATTCCCTATTTTGCAGCGAGTCCACCCACATCCATTTCTACCGTACTTCGGTTGACTCTCTTGAGCACGGGCGATTCGATCACGAAAGGCGGAACCTTGCGAAGCCGTTGACTGACAGCCCTTTCGGGGCGAAGGGGGGGGGGGAGGGTGGGTGGAAAAAGGGACCGTGCCTGTGCGCTGCGAGCGAGCGACTGCACGCGAGTGGCTCATATGCTGGCCTGGGGCGAAGCTGACTGACAGCACAGCCGTGGGTGCTGTGCACTGAGCGAGCGACTGTGATTGGCTCATACACTGGGCCGGGGCAAGCTTGACGTGTCCTTGCCCCTGTGCGCCGGCAGAAAATCGCCCTCGCGCGATTCTGATGCCCATTTCGATTTGATTAAAAATGCAACTGTACTGGGATGCACAATTTGGTGCTTTAAATCATAATTATGCATTTGCCATTATATAAGCGCATGCGCTTATAAATTTGACTCAATTATAAGCGCACCCCCCCCAAAAAACACTGTTTTATTATAAGCGCAGGTGCGCTTTTATCCAGGGTAATACGGTACGTCAACCATGCTCTGTTCTTTGGTGCACGTAGTTGCTGTTCTTCCATGATTGCTCGCTGGCTCCAACACACACCTAGTGGCAGGTTCAATTCCCCCATGACAATCTTTTGTTACACATCAGTGCCTTCGCCACTTGTGAGCCGTATGAAGAAAGGAAGAGTGCGTATACGGCACTCAAAACCCTGGATGAAGAAATAGACCTTATCCATGATGACAACATTTTATCAATAAGGTGTTGCTGACTGGCAATCTCGACTGCCTTGGCTAGCGACATGGCATGACACTTCATTTGCAAATCACACTTGGTACATTACTAAACCAAAAGTAGTGAATGTCTTAGTACATTACTGGCTGAGCATGCATGTTTGTTACGATATTCTCAATTTGCATGACCGTATGTTTCTAAAAAAATGCAGTACTGAATGTTTTCGCGGGCTGCTTGTCACCAAGCTAGAAATGTACGGCCCTGGGTTTGGAATGGAAATCTCTGGATCTGCCATAATTGCTGGCAGTTCAACCCGCCCTTACGTCAACCATGCTCTGTTCTTTGGTGCACGTAGTTGTTGTTCTTCCATGATTGCTCGCTGGCTCCAACACACACCTAGTGGCAGGTGCAATTCCCCCATGACAATCTTTTGTTACACATCAGTGCCTTCGCCACTTGGGAGCCGTATGAGTGACACCCCACCCCATCTAAGGGCTGTATGAGTGCACCGCCTAAACTGCTGAAGCATGGGAAGTTTGCGTTTGTGAACCTTCCAAGGCTCACATGCATGGCATGGCACGGTCACCAAGCTGCCTTCTAATGTAGCTTCCTAAAACACAACCTTCACGAACAAAGAGCGCAGAGCTCCGTCCACTCCTCGCCATGTGAAGGATCCTTGTTACAAAGTAGTGATCTTTGTTATAGAGGAATGAAACCTCCATAATGTGCCTTTCAGGGATGACGAGGTGGCTTTCGAAATATATACCGTATGGCCCCGGATATACGGTAAGCACCATCGTAATGCTAGTGTTGTGCAGCTTCCAAAACTGATATGTGACGCCTGACGTGCTGTGTTCCTTCTTTTGGTTTTGGCGGGAACCAATCAGATGTGTTCGATCTGCAAAAAACACTCTCAATGAAACACTGGAAACTTGTCGGTTTGGTTCCAAAATTGTTTCGCACGGCAAGCCCTCTTTCAAGTTGGCGTTGGGTTCACTATTTTGCATTTGGGTTTTGAAGGCGCAGGCGCTTATATCTAGAGCATGGCGCTTATGGTCGAAACTCAATTAGGACGCGGCCAGAGCAGGTTCTCATCTACGAGTTTGTGCGTAACGGCGACCTTGCAACGTGGCTGGACCCAACAAGTATGTATTTCTGCGCTCAATGCCTTCGTGCTTATCCGTTGGGGATCAAGAGATTGGTTTTGCGACTCTTGTTACAACCGTACCCTACACTCAACAACTTAGTCTTCAGCAAGACATAGTCTTAGATATGTTGTGTCCCCAATGCTGTCTTCCACAATATAGATTTAGAAATGTTGTGTCCCGAATGCTGTCCCCCCAATGCTCTCTCCCCAATGCTGCCTCCCCCCTGCAGAGGCACCATTCTCACTGACCCTGCCGCAGCGACTGGGCATCCTGATCGGGGCAGCGCGCGGCTTGGAGTATCTCCACAGCTTTGGCTTCGTGCATCGCGACATCAAACCCGCCAACATCCTCATCGGTGCTGACATGCAGGTAAGCTCGCCACAACAAACAAATAAGTTCTTGAATGTAGTTAATATTGAATTCTTAGTCAAATCAAAACAAACAACTGTCAGCTGTTCAGGTCCCTACCGTATGAAACTTAACAGTTCATTCCAAACACTCTGATAATGAGAATTGTGATCAATCGCCTTCTAAAATGTCCAACTATAGTGAATGAAATGCACATGCATGTGGATAGTACCTTGCTTCTTGACGGCTTAGATGCGCAATCAACTCCCTTATGTATGTGCTCTGCAGAATGTTGTAACTTGTATGGCCCCATCCAATCTGACTTTTTCTACCTATTTCAACTTGTTAAACTCTCTACTCACCAGGCCAAGATTGCGGATTTTGGATTGGTGAGGGTGGGGGAGGGAACGACAGTGGGTTCTACTCGAGTGATGGGCACACCGGGCTATGTGGACCCTGTCTACTCCAGGACAAGCAAGGCAACCTAAACCACTGATGTTTACAGGTACTTGAGAGGAGAGGCTTTTCGTAAGTTCACAAAAAAATATAGTCAAATAGTTTCTTCGTGTTCTTTTTTTTCAATCCATGGGGCTCGCATGTTCTGTCCATGCATTTGCACGTCGAGCTCACGTTTCGCGCTATAGAGGGAAAAGGAGGAAGCATGGTTGCCGTAAGATTGAGGTGGTTCATTCAAAGTGTAGAATTCCCTCTTTTTGCAAGGATGGTATGCTAAACGTCTTGAAACGAATTCAAGTCTTGGCTGTTGTGATGCCTCACCATGCCATCGGCATGGCAGTAACATCTCTCCCTCTCCTTGTCTCCCTATCCACAGCTTTAGAGTGCTTATCCTTGTGGTTCTCACTGGTCGTACTCACAATGCTGAGACTTCCAAGGGGAGCATGCACGTCCTACCTTGGGTAAGCACCACCACCGCCGTCGCCGCCGCTGCCGTCGCCACCACCGGTTTTCTGCTCTCATTTTCAAGGCTTGATCAACCACTCGTCGCACCCCTCATTCGCACATGTGCCTTTGTGTTCTCTCACTCACTCCCAACTGCCCTTTCCAACCGTCTGTTCTGTACCCTTCTAGGTGGACGAGTGTCTGTCAAAGGGGGATCTGGCGGGCCTGAAGAGTTCCGGCATGGACGCCCCAAAGGAGGTGCTGCTGCGCCTCACTCAGCTCGCAGTGAGCTGCACGGTGGATCGCACGGCAAACCGGCCGACCATGGGAGATGTTGCCAATGAGCTGCAGGCAGTCAGGAACGAAGTGTGGGGGAAGGAGGAGGTGCGTGGTGCGGTTAAAGTGGATGTGGAGAATGAGGAGAGGATGAGTGCACACAGGATACACCAAAGCCTGGATGAAGCAATTGACAGCATTAGCGATGTTGTGTGATTAACCAGTTATGACATTACGGTGGACAAGTAGCTGCTAATTCCTCCTCAACTCCTGGACTTCCACGAGTTTCTATTTGGTGTCTATGCTGCGCTGCACTGGTTGTGAAATTCATTTGACGTGCCCTCACGTCAATCACTCCCTGTATACAAATCTTTGGTCCACGGTGTTGCTGTGCTTCCATGTTTGCTCACTGGCTCCAACACACACCTAGCGACAGCGTGCGATTCCCCCATGACGTTCTTTTTGTTGCGCATCAGTGCCTTCGTCACATGTGATGTGAGCCGTATGAGTGACACCCCATCTAAGGTTTGTATGAGTGCACTGCCTAAACTGCTGAAGCATTGGAGGTTTGCGTTTGTGAACCTTCCAAGCCTCGCATGCATGGTATGGCACGGTCACCGCGCTGCCTTCTACCGTAGCTTCACAAAACACTACCAGAGTCACTAGGCCCTCAGATATCAGACTCTTTACGCTGATTTGATTATTTATTTTTATTTTTTAAATTATATTTGGTTCAGATATCATAGTCACCAGGCCCCCTGTATGCCTTGCCAAGTCATTCTATCACTTGCTAACAGATACATCCAGGAGAACATGGTAATCAACATATTTTGAGCAGCGGCTAATTGTACGCCTTGTAACGCTGTAACAACTTGATCACGCGCGTAAGCCAATGAGCTTCAATTCTTCCGTTAGGCTTGGCTGTTTCTTAATTACACTGCTCCTCTCCTCATCTTCCTCATACACCTTCACCGCTGCGCGCACCTCCTCCTTCCCCTCCACTTCATTCCTAACCGCCTGCAGCTCATTGGCAACATCTCCCATGGTTGGCCGGCTTGCCGTGCGAGCCACCGTGCAGGTGAGTGCGAGGTGAGAGATTCGTAGCAGCACGTCCTCTGGGGCATCCATGCTGGCATTACTCTTGAGGCCCGCCACATCCCCCTTTGACAGACACTCGTCCACCTGAGGAGTGCAGACAGACGGTTAGAAAGGCACATGCGCGAATGAGGGGTGGGGCGAGTGGCTGAACCTCAAACAGACCAAGGCGCAGCAGCGCGTCATCTGGGGCATCCATGCTGGCGTTGATCTTGAGGCCCGCTACATCCCCTCGCGACAGGCACTCGTCCACCTGAAGAGAGCAGACGGTTAGAAAAGGACCGGGAGGGGAGCAGTTTGGAGGTGCTGATGGTGGTGGCGGTGGCGGCGGCGATGATGGTGCTGGTGGTGTTGTGACGGTAGAGGCGGTGGCGGCAGCGGTGGTGCTCACCCAAGGTAGGATGTGCATGCTTCCCGCTGTAGTCTCAGCAGTGACTGTGACAACACGTCCAGTTAGCACCACGAGGATGAGCACTCCGAAGCTGCAGGCAGGGAGAGAGAGAGACGATGCTTGCAAAGGCACGGTGATGGCATCACAACAGCACGGCTTGTATTTGTTATGTTCATCATACCATGCTTGCACATTGAGGAGGTTTTACACCTTTTACATGTAAGAAAAGCGATGCTCATGATACCATGCTCGCCAAAAGAGGAGATTCTACACTTGAACCAACCACCTTGATTCCCTATCTATTATTGTTTTCCGGTTTACAGTGCTTAGCGCATGTGAGCGCGCATGATTAACGTCGAAATGCACGGACAGAATAGGAGGAAGTAAGAAATGAGCACCAAGTGATTATCAGCCTCATTTTCAATTTGCAAAAAGCCTCTCATCTCATCCTCCCTCACGTACCTGTAAACATCAGTGGTTGTGGTTGCCTTTGACGTTCTGAAGTAAACTGGATCCACATAGCCCGGTGTTCCCATCACTCACGTACAACCCACTGTCGTGCCCTCTCCCACCCTTACCAATCCGAAATCTGCAACCTTGGCCTGGGGATGAGAGAGAACCAGAACAAGGGTAAAAGGCGAAATGTTTTTGAGCCGACTCAAGAAATCTGCAACCTTGGCCCGGGGAAGAGAGAGAGAGTATATCAGAGAAAGGGTGAAAGACGAAAGAGGTATAAGCGGCTGGATTGATCGGCAGGGGAACATAATCCTGCAGAAAACGTAGCGTACCCTAGGAAATTGATCGCGCATCATCTATATAAACCATAACTAAATGAAGTACTATCAATATGCGTGTCAGAAATCTCTAATGGGAAGAAGTAACACAGGGTGATTTGTTACTTGAGGTATCACAGGTTAGGGACCTGGGCAGCTGAAAGTTGCTCCTTTGAATCAACTTCAACAAATACCCACAAATTAATGAAGGCATTTGTTTCTTGTTGAGAGCTTGCCTGCACGTCAGCGCTGATGGGAATGTTGGCGGGTTTGATGTCGCGATGCCCACTACCTCAGCGGACTCAAGATAATATAAATCGCTGTTGTGGTACTCCAAGTCATTCGTTCTTTTTTAAGAACTCGGGGACGAGCAATTAACTCGGGGATGAGTATTTGACTCCGGGACGAGCAATTGACTCGGGGATGAGTATTTGACTCCGGGACGAGCAATTGACTCGGGGACGAGTATTTGACTCCGGGACGAGCAATTGACTCGGGGACGAGTATTTGACTCCGGGACGAGCAATTGACTCGGGGACGAGTATTTGACTCCGGGACGAGCAATTGACTCGGGGACGAGTATTTGACTCCGGGACGAGCAATTGACTCGGAGACGAGTATTTGACTCGGGGACGAGCAATTGACTCGGGGACGAGTATTTGACTCCGGGATGAGCAATTGACTCGGGGACGAGTATTTGACTCCGGGACGAGCAATTGACTCGGAGACGAGTATTTGACTCGGGGACGAGCAATTGACTCGGGGACGAGTATTTGACTCCGGGATGAGCAATTGACTCGGGGACGAGTATTTGACTCCGGGACGAGCAATTGACTCGGAGACGAGTATTTGACTCGGGGACGAGCAATTGACTCGGAGACGAGTATTTGACTCGGGGACGAGCAATTGACTCGGAGACGAGTATTTGACTCGGGGACGAGTATTTGACTCGGGGACGAGTATTTGACTCGGGGACGAGTATTTGACTCGGGGACGAGCAAATGACTCGGAGACGAGTATTTGACTCCGGGACGAGCAATTGACTCGGGGACGAGTATTTGACTCCGGGACGAGCAATTGACTCAGAGACGAGTATTTGACTCGGGGACGAGTATTTGACTCGGGGTCGAGTATTTGACTCCGGGACGAGCAATTGACTCGGGGACGAGTATTTGACTCGGGCATGTCAGCGCGGATGAGGATGTTGGCGGTTTTGATGTCATGTTGCTCACTGTTCCATCCGACTCCGATGACCAGCAACCAGCTTACTAGGGGTGGAGGAAAAGAGGAGGGGTACAAAGGGATGGAGGAAGGAGGGGGGGAAAGGGGAGGGCTTACAAGGCTAGCAGCTGCGCTAGTGAGCCGAGGCCAGTAGGGATAGAGCCACTGAGGGAATTATTGTAGATGAACCTACAGTGGTTGTGAAAGGGAAAATAAGGTGAAAAGAGTTGTTAAAAGAACCCTCTCAAGACAGGGTTCTTAGGGTCTAGGACTGGAACGGGCAATGGAATCGGATATTTCAGTGGTGCTGAGATGCATTTTGAGGCGCCTCAAATGCACCTCACTACACGCGAAAACGGATATTTCAGTGGTGCTGGACTGGAATGGACCATCGTGATTAGCAACGCCAACACTGTTCATCTCCTTGTGTGAAGAATCACTCAGTGTCATCTCGAGTGTCATCTTAGGTGTCATCTTTGGTGTCACCTCCTTACACGATCCTCACACACAATAGGAGCTACGCACACACTAGGCGTTACGCACACACTAGGCGTTACGCACACACTAGGCGTTACACACACACTAGGCGTTACACACACACTAGGCGTTACACACACATTAGGCGTTACGCACACAAGACACCCGCTTATTGAGCATACTTAGGCGCGCTACGCACAGCCTGTGTGCCACATATTGCTGACATCCTGTGTCAGTGTGTGTGCTGTACACATGAACCTGCTTTTGCAGAGCCCACTGGAACTAGCAGTGATTCTACCTGAATGTTACTTGCTGGCGTTCTGTGTCTACTCACTCACATGGACGTTAGCCGGCAGAGCCCACTGAAGCTAGCAGGGATGCTGCCTGAATGCTGGTTGCTGGACATATCTCTGATGAAAGGTATTGAGCAGCATCATTCACAGAGGAACAGAAGAGGTTATTTATTAGTTGACTCAAAAGTCACCAAGCTGCCTGAATGCTGGTTGTTGAACATGCCTCTGATGAAAGGTATCAAGCATCATGCACAGAGGCAAGGCAGCAACAGAAGAGGTGACTTTTGAGTCGACTCAAAAGTCACCTCGTTTTAAGTCGACTCAAAAGTCACAAAGCTGCCTGAATGTTGGTTCCTGGACATGTCTCTGAGAAGAAGCATCATGCACAAACAGCATCCTTACAGAAGGATGTTGAGAAGAGGAGACGAGTATGTGAGAAGGGAAAGGATGAGCAGCAAGAACAGCGAATGATGTGATGTGACGCGTGAACAGAGAAGTCAGGGGAGGTGAAAGGCGCATAGAGGAGAGGAGTGGAGAGGAGGTGAGAGGAGAGGAGAGGAGAGGAGAGGAGAGGAGAGGAGAGGAGGGGAGAGGTGGAGAGGGTAAGAGCGAAGAAGACGCAGCAGACCAAAGGAAAGAGAAGCACAACGAAGGGACAGAGAAGAATGAGGAGGGCTCACTACGCGTCTAGAGAATGAAACGGGAGGAGTAAAAGGGGAGGACTTACAAGGCCGCCAGATTTGTGAGTAAGCCGAGGCCAGTCGGGATGGAGCCACTGAGTTTATTGTCATACAAAGACCTATGGTGGACGTGAGAGGGAATATAGGGTGAAAAGTTCTGCTATATAACCTCTCAAAGAAGGTGGGTTCAGGAGTATTTATAGCTCTTAAAAACGGCCAATGACGAACGGACATCTTTGTGATGCTAGCATGGACAATTGTAAGCAAGCAGCAACGCCGAAAGTAT